TGTTTTTCTCCAGGGACAGGTCCCTCCAGACAACATTTCCCACTGGGGCTTAAAAGTAACAACATATACAGATACATGCATACCTAAATTCATTGTACCACCATTCACAATAGCCAAAAGATGGAAGCAACCTGAATGCCCATTAACTGGTCAATGAACAAGAAAAACGTGGTACACATATACCATGGAATACTATTCAGCCATCGTAGTCCTAATACATACAAACACGGACAAACCCCGAAGACGTGATACTCAGCAAAATAAGTCAGTCACAAAAGGACAAATACTGTATGATATCACTAATATGAAAAGATAAGAAATAGGTAAATCTATGGAAAACAAGGAGTCCTGGTATGGCACTTCAGGTTAATGAGCTAGACTGCAAGTTTGGTTAGAATCCCAAGGTTGGTGGCTCTAGCTCACCAGCCTCTCCTCAGAAACCTTAGACTGGGTCACAAGGAGTTAGAACAGACTCAACAACCTATATACAACAAATGACCATAGTGGTTCCCTGGGGTAAGAGGAGGAAAGGAATGAGGAAATTATTTTCTGGAAAGAAGTGGGTTTATATTTATGAGAAAATGTGCATCATTTAAGGGTGATAGTTGCAAGATAGATTGTATACCCACCCCCCAAAAAACCACAAAAAATGGTAAATATTATATTATATGTAATCTTAGAATAACAACAGCCAAAACGGGGGGGGGGAGGGGGGAGCCTGAAGTTGCTTATATTACTTAATTACATCAAAACATTTCATGAGAGGATTTCTGTTGTTTGGAAGTTACAGGTCATAGCTTCATGGGACTGTCCTAATACTGTATTTAATTATTATTCCATTCCCTCCCTAGTTCCCTGCAATGTGCTTGAGGTCTTCAATACTTATGAGCAGCCATCCAAAATATAGTCATTGGTTTTAATTCACCAGGAAAAGCAGAGGAAGAAGGAGATCCTGGAATCAGAGCTGGATCGAGGCTGCAGGCTTACCTTCCTCCACAAACTACTTAGCCTTCTTAGCCAAGAGACCAGAGAAGCCGGAGGGTGCCTGGCTACCACTGTTGAACATTTTGATCAATGAATCAATACATGTATCCTGATCAATAGGGGAGAAACATGGAACAGAACTTCAAATTCTTAAAGAGAAGTTGGACTATATGAGAAAGAATATGGCATCAGGATTGGAGGAAGACTCATTAACAACCTGCAACATACAGATGATACAATATTGCTTGCTGAAAGTGAACAGGACTTAAAACGCTTACTGATACAAATCAAAGACCACAGTCTTTGGTATGGGTTGCATCCTAATGTAAAGAAAACAAAAATCCTTACCACTGGACCAATAAATAACATCATGATAAATGGAGAAGAGACTGAAGTTGTTAAAGACTTCATTTTGCTTAGATCCATCATCAACACTCATGGAAGCAGCCGTCAAGATATCAAATGATGTATGCATTAGGCAGATCTGCTGCACAAGACCTCTTTAAAGTGTCGAAGAGCAAAGATATCAGTCTGAGGACTACGGTGCACCTGACTGAAGCCATGGTTATTTCCAATAGCTTCATATGCATGTGAAAGTTGGACAATGAATAAGGAAGAACATAGAAGCATTGATGCATTTGAGTTATGGTGTTGGAGAAGAATATTAAAGTTATGATGGACTGTCAAAAGAACAAACCAGTCTGTGTTGGAAGTATAACCAGATGTTCCTTAGAAGTCGGGATGGTGAGAATGTACCTATTATCAGGGGGGACCAGTCCCTGGAGAAGGACATCATGCTTGGTAAAGTGGAGGGTCAGCAAAAAAGAAGAAGACCAAGCTTAGCAACAATTGTGAGGATTCTGCAGGACCGGGCGGTGTTTCCTTCTATTATACACAGAGTCACTATGAGCTGGAAGGGACTCGATGGCACCAAACAACAACAACAAATTCCTGGTGTGGAGTTGTAGGATCAGCACTGGACTGCTAACCACAAGGTCCACGTTTCAAACTCACCAGCTGCTCCTCAGTACCAACTGGACATCACCCAAACAATGCAGAACATGGAGTTCAAGCTCACACTCCCTGTTAACTCGCCTTCTCACTCAGAGCCAGGTGAGGGCTTCTATCAACACAAAAGAACACCCACCCCATTACAGACTATGGTGAAAATGGACATTGGTCACCCAGATCCCTCTTCAGCCTTCAGTTGTTACCCTTCCTAGAAAGTATCTGCTCCACCCAGGGCCACACCTCTCTCCAGTGCCATTGAGTGCCATTGAGTTGGTTCTGACTCATGGGTATAGGGTTTCCAAGGAACGGTTGGTGAGCTTGAACCGCCTACCTTGTGGCTCAAACTGACCTTGCAGTGCAGCGCATTAAGCACAGGACTCCAGGGCAATGACTAATCAATGCAAGAGTTCAGAAGCAGGAGTTGTGAGCCATCTCTGAAAGGCCAGCCCACCTTCAGACCTGCTCATGGGGTTGGCTTCTTCCTTCTCATCCCACTCCCTTCCACAGGTATGTGTCTGAAGAGTTTCCCCTAATTAAATAACTCATTTCCTAATCTCATCTCAGAGTCCACTTTCTGCGGAACCCACATAATATCCAACTAAACGGATTTTTTTTTCTAATTAACTATCCAAACAGATGCATTCTTTTAATATGCAGACTAAAACCAAATTGATGCAGAAGTCATTGTTTGATAAGGATTTTTTTTTTTTTTTTAAGGAATAAATGTTGTTCCAGGTTTTTACAGGAGTCCTGATGTGGCGCTGTGGGTTAATGCTCTAGACTGCAAAGTCAGTTTGAACTGCAAGGTTGGTGGTTCAAGCTCACCAGTCGCTCCTTGTAAACTGTCTGGAGGGTCGCTATGGGTCCGAACCGACTCAATGGCACTTAAGAACAACAACAAGGTTTTTAGAAGGTAGTGTGGTTAGTCTGATACTACAATAACTTAACACAGGGATTCTTCACTTGGGAACCCCACAGGGGTTCCTGGATAGCATTCCCTGGGTCTGTAAACTTACATGAGAAAAAAGAAATTATGTTTCTATTTCTAATAAATGCTAACTGATACTTGGAGGAGCTCTGGTGGTGCAGAGGTTAGGCGCTCAGCTGCTAAATGAAAAGCTGGTAGTTTGAACCTGCCCACTGCTCCTCAGGAAAAAAATCTGGCAGTCTGCTTTCACAAGGCTTTTTAGAACCTTGGAAACCCTATGGGGCAGTTCCACTCTGTCTTATGCGTCAGAGTTGACCCCATGGCAGCGGGTTTGTTTTTTGGGGTTGTTGTTAAGTGCCGTCGAGTAGGTTCGGACCCATAGCGACCCTCCAGACGGTTTACAAGGAGCGACTGGTGAGCTTGAACCACCAACCTTGCAGTTCAAACTGACTTTGCAATCTAGCGCATTAACCCACAGCGCCACACCAGAAAATGGTTACGTATTCAACTAGTAATAACCCACTCAGAGACACCTAGGAAGAAAGAGCGGGAGATCTGTTTCCCAAGTCGCAGCCTTAGAAGCTCCATGCAGCTGGTCTACGCTGCAAAACGTGGGGTCGCTACCAAACTGGTTTGCAGGCTGTTGCTTTGTTTTGTTTTTTGTTTTTTGGATAATTAGCGTTTCCTTCCATTGTGAATGTAGGTAACAAGTCACAGTAAAAATAGCACTTAGTAACTTTGTCCCTAATATAAGTCCTATCACACTATATTTGCTGCAGATGTCCTCAAATATTGTTTGCAAACTTCATTATCTTGGAAACTGGATAATTATTAGATTCACAATTAGATCTACTGTTTTATCATTTAATGTGCTTAAAAATAAGCATCGCAATTAGTCCACAGAATTTTTAGTTCTTAAAAATATTTTAGGCGCATTTCAATGTAGTTGGTAATCCTGAGGATTTTATTAATTTAAAAATATTCTGAGAAGGGGCGCATATGCTTCACAAAGAGCCTTAAAGGGATCCGTCAACCAACAAGGGCGAAGCGCTCACAGGATCCTGACGTTCAGAGCAACCTTTTTATGCAAAGCTCACCATCTCCACGTGGGGTTCGCCCAGTGCGTAAGGCGTCCGGGGCGCCCGGACCAGACAGTGCGCACAGCCATTTCACCAGCAGGAGAGATTCCAGCCGCGTGTTTGTTTTGCCGGTCGGTCCCCCACCACCCTACCCCACACCACCCCACCCCACCCCACTCCACCCCCACTGCTGGAATGCGCACTGCTTTATATGAAATCCACATGGTGCGGCTGGGGAGGGCGGTGGCAAAAAGGGACGCACCAAGTTGTCAGCGCCCCACAGGCCAGTTTGAGAGAGGCGTGGGAGAACTAAAGGTCACCTGGCCCCGTTTCTCATTGGGGTCCCATGGTGGCAAGACTCGGTCACAGGAAATCAGATCACCAGTGTAGTCTGTCTTCCGAGCCCTGAACTCTGAACTCTGAAACGTACTCAAAAGAAGAGCCGAATCATTGCCAGGGAGGATTTGGAGTTCGCTTGGGGATGTCGGTTAAGTTCCCGAGGCCGCGGAAACGGCTGCCTTTCTGGCTTCGGCACCCACAGGAGTCCCAGTGCCCGCGCGTAGCTGGCTATTCCCTGGGGAGGTTCAGCGCCCGCACCTGGCCCCACCCAGACTGGCCAGGTCCTGCTCCAAAGGCACGGGACAATGGGAAGGCAGGACCGACCTCTCCTCGGCGATTCCGCCTTCAACCGCCGGGGAGGAAACGCTATCCCAGGCTCCCAGGGTCCGGCTAGGGTGCAAGCGGAGCAGCACCGACGGGGCGAGCCAGCTCCCCACACCCGCGTGTTCCTCCGACGACAGGGACGAAGGGACTAGGGACCTCGGCGCGTAGCAGTGGGCTGCAGAGGCGGGAGCCCTCCCTTGGCGTGAAGACCCGGCGGCTACCAGGTCCTCGTCCCCGCCCGCGACACCCACGTCCATCCGGCTCCGCCTGGGCCCTTCCTAATGACTCCGGCTCCCTTCCCCGCGTTGCCCACCTCCCACCCGGGGCGAACTCACGTAAACATAGTTGATGTCGGATTTGTCGTAGAAGTGAAGCCCCCCGCTCAGCTGCAGGGCGAGGGAGACGCGGTCGTCGCCGGCCTCCAGCTCCTGATCCCCCTGTTCAGGGCCGAAGGGGAAGAGCTCTTGGCGGTTAAGGCAACCCCCGGGCACCGCCAACAGCAGCGGCAGCAGCAGCGCCCGCGTCCACGCAGCCCAGCTACGGCGGCTCGCGCTCATCGTGTTCCCGAACTACAGTCCCCGCAAACCCGGCGGCTCTGCGGCCTAGAGGCTGCGGAAGGGCGGAGATGTAACCGGACGCCCCTCCAAAGCCCCTCCACGCCTCCCGCCCCAAAGTTCCCACCCCGGGAAATAGAGGAGGGGATCGAGGGGAGCTGGGGGAGGGCGAGCCCCGCCCCGCCCCGTCGATAGGGCGCGCTGCAGAGGCAGCCCAATGGCCGCGGGAGGGAGGGCGAGGGGCGACGCCCGACCCCCAGCCCAGGAGGCAGCGCCCTGACCTCCCGCAGGGAATCAGCTCGGACCCTGATTCCCGAAACTAGCCCGATTCCCATCTAGCGGCCTCGGCGAGAGGTGGGAACTGCATTGTCCTCGGGTCAGATCTAAACCGTGGAAAGAGACGACATGGAAATGCCATGGATTCCGAAACAGTCCACGCCAATGCCTCTCAGCGGTAACTGGAGGCCTGACTCGTGTGCCTCTGGTAGGAAAGGGGTGGGCATTGAGAGTTAGCAAGGACCTCCTGGGCCAGTGAAATCATTTTCTCTTGAACCCATTCACTCAGCATTTATTGAATGCCCGATTCTGAGCTGGGTAATGCGGAATCTTTGCAAGAAATCGCGCTGCACCCGAGACGTTTTGAAGGCAAGACAAAGTCACGAGTGTTTAACACACAATTCGATATCCAACACCGACGAAGGATATCGGGGCTGGAATAATCCGCCTGGGATCGCTTGGTGTGAGATGTTGGGAATGGAAGCAGATCTTCCGGAAGGGGTGGAATTTTAACAGGCAGCTAGGGTTGAGCTGTGAGTAGGTTTCATGGCCCCATCCCTCAGTTGAGAATTTGCAGAGGTCCAAGTCAAGTTCTGAATGCCACGCATAGGAATTTGGATAATCAAAGAACTATTCAAAGTTCTAACAAAGGGAGGTGGACGATTTCAAGCGGTATGATAAGTAATAGGTTGATCATTAATTAGGTATTGGGTGGAAAGTAGAGACAAGGTCATCACGGGACTGGAGAAGGGACACGGGAAGGGAGGGAGACCAGAATGAGAAAGGAAGAAGAGGGAATTGAGAAGAAATTGATCTAAGGGGCATTTACAATGAACCAAAGAACAAGCTCTGATTATACAATTGATGTTGAGGAAGAAATAAATTAAAGAAAATAAGACTTCCAGCCTGGAGCCATGCTCCCTCTTGAGGGGAGCTAGGAGTGAACTTTGGGGAGCAGAAGTTGGTGTCAGAACCTGTTGATGCTGAGGTGACAAGAAGCTGTCTCCCTTTTCTGTTGGCAGCTAAAACTAAGGATCCAGAGCCCAATTTGGAATCATTCTCCAAGAAAAGAGAAACTGCTATACAATATTTAGAGAATGTGAGTTCCGGACCAGCAGAAAACAGAAAAAGCAAATACACCTAAGTAGAAAGTTTGGGATCAACTTGTGGCAAGTTTTTCTTTTAAATGATTGTCATCAGATTGTCGTGATCATGCTGTGCCGTGGAGTCGGTTCCGACCCATAGCGACAGGGTTTCCGAGGCTGTAAATCTTTACGGGAGCAGAAAGCCTCATCTTTCTCCTGCAGAACAGCTGGTAATTTCGAACTGCTGACCTTGCGGTTCACAGCCTGATTCATGACCACTACGCTACCAGAGCTCCTTTTAATCATCAGAGATAACACTTATCAAGTACTTACTTAGTGCCATGTACTGTACTCACAATGACCCTAAGGTTGTTATCATCCCTGTTTGACAAAAGACACAGATAGTGACTTAGAGTATTTTAGTCACTTTGGTAAAGTCACGCAGACAGGAGCCTGTAAAAAACCCAATGGGCTTCAGTTCCAGAGACTCCACTTTTTTAAAAAATCATATTTTATTGTGTGTTTGGTGAAGGTTTCCACAGCACATTAGGTTCCCTTTCAACAATTTCTATACAAATTGCTCAGTGATGTTGATTCCATTCTTTATAACATGTGAACATTCTCATTACTCTGTGTTGGTTGCTCTGTTTCCTGTCCCCTTACATTCTTACGTCGGTTTTTAAGTAATTGTTGACCGTTAGTTCTCATATAGATTAGTTTTTATAGGAGCACCGAGTGATACTCATTACTTTGTGAGTCAAGCTGTTATTTAGTCACAAGATGACATTAGGGGTTAGTTTCATTTCAAAGCTTGAGGTTATCTCAGAGAGTCCAACAGGCTCAAACCAGTAGATGTAGTTTTTGTTCTGTTTTATTGTTAGAAACTTGAGGTCTGTCCCACATCCCCTCCTTCCCCCTATTCAATCAGGGCCCATCCACTGTGGTTCTATAGCCCTGACTGGAACGTTCGCAGCCTGATATCTAGTTCCACCCAGAGCCTCACTCTTTACCACTATATTAAGTAGCCTCTTTATTGCTACTTTTTTGTTGTTGTCTTTTGAAGAGTAACTAATGCTGGAGTCCTGATGTGGCTGTAGGGTAAGCACTGTGCTTAACAATAGCAACAAATGCTGTCTACAGAGTCTCTGAGTGGATATCAACTCATAACAATGGGTTTGGGTTGGATTGGGGGAAATGCTGTCTACAGATTGTTGGATCTGATGACTTTTCTTTCAGTTCTTTCCTGGAATGGTACAGTGCTGAGTCTCCCTACCCTTCCAAAAAGCTCTTCCTGATTCTGCCCAATCCACTCCCTAGCCTCAACTCCTGCACTTTCCATTACTGGATTTCTGGGCCTCGGTGCTGCCATTCAGCTGCTGAGAGTTCCCCTAAATAGGGGAGGCTCTGGACTCCTCCCCTATCCACTTATTCCATGCCCTGTGGATTGGGGAGAACCAGAAGTCTGCATGAGTCTCAGACCCTCCTGATTCGGAATTCCTCATCCTTTTCTCCATCACACATCAGAGCCCTCTCTGAAGCTGTTGCCTGGCCTGGAATGCTCACTCCTCTCACAGTTTCTCTCCCTTTTTGGTAGTTAGACAGCTTCTGAAATGCCTATTGGTCCATGGAAATGTCCTCAGTTCATACAAGTGTGAGAGGGGCTGAGAGCCATTCTGCACTGTGTTGGTTCAATGTAGTTCCCCGAGACTGACAGTCTGGTTGTGATCTGGACTCAGCATTCCACACTCATTCTCTGTATAAGCTTAGGCAGGCTCCAAGGCTCCGTATCCTCATCATTTATATGGGATGCTCATATCTACCATCAAAGAATTGTTGTGAGGATTCAATCAGGTGATCCATGAAATGATCCCGGCACAAAGTAAGTGCTCATCTAACATTACACCATCTTGATTTTCTAAATATTGCTGTTGTTAAGTGCTGTCGAGTTGATTCCAACTCATAGTGGTCCTGTATAGGGTTTCCTCAGAGTGACGGGTGAGTTTGAACTACCGACCTTGTGGTCCAGTACATTTTTCTGTAGTGCCACACCAGAACTCCTGAGGAGGGACTGATGAGCTTGAACCACCGACCTTGTGGTTCAAACCGACCTTGTGGTCCAGTGCTTATTGTCCAGTGCCACACCAAGACTAATTTCTTATTATTTATTAGTAATCTACGTAAGTCAGAAACTATATGACACTTCAAATATCAAGACCATTAAGACACAATCCCTTTTAGCTTCACAGTTGATTGGAGGAGACCAAGAGAGCCTCCAGTGTGGTACTTTAGCAGATATACCAAGACCAACACCACTGGCTGAATACTTCTGCTAGATGCTTTATATGTTGTTAAGTGCTGTCGAGATGGTTCCGAGTCATAGTGACCCTGTAAGGGTTTCTGATGGGAGAAAGATGAGGCTTTCAGTTCCTGTAAAGATTTTCAGCCTTGGAAACCTGATTCAGGGTTGCTATGAGTTGGAACCAACCCCCACATACAATCACCACCATAGGGTTTCTGATGAGCGGCTGGTGAGCTTGAACTGATGACCTTTCAGTTCAAACTGATCTTGCAGTCCAGTGCATTAGCCCACAGCACCACATATCACATCAGCTTTAATACTAAGGACAATTGCATAAGCTAAGCTAATGGTGGTGGTGTGCTGAGGACTTAGTTCTGAGTCATAGCGATCCTGTACAGGGTTTTAATCTTCACAGGAGCAGAAAGCTTCATCTTTCTCCTGCAAAGCAACTGATAGATTTGAACTGCTGACCTTGCAGTTAGCAGCCCAGCTCGTAACCACTATCTCAAATAAATATGGGGAAATGAGTCCTTCAAAGACTGGAGAGTGAGCCCTGTTTCACACAGTAAGTGGAAGGGCTGGGATTTGAATCCTAGTTGATCTGAAACTGAAGCGTATATCCTTTCCACCACAACCATGTTGCCTTTCTACAGAAAGAGTGACTCCCAGTAGATAGTGTAAACGATCTGCCATTCACTATTTATAGTCCTGCACTCACTACAGCTTGTCTGGTGCTTATGGAATGTAACATTGATGCTGTGTCTTCTACAAGGACCATGTGGGCTGGGTCCCCGCCATTACTCTAGCATTTATAGCCCCTAATGCATTTCATGTGTCCTCAAAATGTTCATCCTATAATGCACTGTTTCATATTGTTCTCTGATCATTTTTAAGTGCATATGGATTGCATCTCAATGTCAGGAAAACAAAAATCCTCACCACTGGACCAATAAACAACATTCTTATCAATGGAGAAAAGATTGAAGTTGTCAAGGACTTCATT